AGCTCCTCACCCCCCCCCTTCCCGCCTCTTCCAGCGGCGCCCCCACCTCCCCCAGCGCCCCCACCCCAGCTACACCCGCTGAGCTCCCCCACCCCCACCCCCCCCATCAGGGCCCCCCACTCCCCCATCAGGGCCCCCACCTCCCCCACCCCCACCTCCCCCATCAGGGCCCCCACCTCCCCATCAGGGCCCCCCACTTCCAACCGCAGGACCCCCACCTCCTTACCCCCCTCCCACTCCCCCCAGGAGCCGGGCGGAGGCGGTGCGGCCTGAGCACAGGGGCCTGCAATACCACCCGCCGCCACCGGAGGGCAGCACAGACCAGAAAGTCCGCGGAGCCGCTAACTCACTGGCTGTCCCAGCTACTCCCCCCCCCCCCGTGAGGTTCCCCTCCACCTCAGGGCCCCCACCTCCCCCATCAGCCCCCACCTCCCCCACCGCCCCCATCAGGGCCCCCCACCTCCCCCAGCCCCCCACCTCCCCCACCAGCCCCTCACCGCCCCCATCAGGGCCCCCCACCTCCCCCAGCCCCCCACCTCCCCCATCCCCCACCACCCCCAGCCCCCCACCTCCCCCAGCAGGGCTCCCCACCTCCCCCAGCTCCCCACCTCCCCCATCAGGGCCCCCCACCTCCCCCAGCCCCCACCTCCTCCAGCAGGGCTCCCCACCTCCCCCATCAGCCCCCCACCGCCCCCATCAGGGCCCCCCACCTCCCCCAGCTCCCCACCTCCCCCATCAGGGCCCCCCACCTCCCCCAGCCCCCACCTCCCCCAGCAGGGCGCCCCCACCTCCCCCACCAGCCACCATCTCCCCATCAGGGCCCCCCACCTCCACCAGCCCCCCCACCGCCCCCATCAGCCCCCCCACCTCCACCATCAGCCCCCCCCCTCCACCAGCAGGGCCCCCCCTCCCCCCTCAGCCCCCCACCTCCACTAGCAGGGCTCCCCCCTTCACCATCAGCCCCCCACCTCCCCCAGCCCCCACCGCCCCCCATCAGGGCCCCCCCTCCCCCCTCAGCCCCCCACCTCCACCAGCAGGGTGGTGTAGAGCATGTGCACGAAGTGCAGGTTCCGGGGGGACCCCTCGGGCATGTGGGCGATCCGCAGGTCCAGGTAGCGCACGCCCGCGTCCAGCTGCTCCGTGACGTCCAGCTCCTGCGGGGACGGCGAGGGAGTTGGGGTGTCGGGGTGTCGGGGTGTCGGGGTGTCAGGGCCGGCCGGCAGGCAGCTCCCAGGGCCCCACGGCCCCCTCCCCGGTGCCCCCGAGGCCGTGCCATGGATGTTTCTCTCATTGACATCAGTGAGAGAGGAACATGGACCGGCTGCCTCCTGCCCCAGGGCCTGGCCTCAGTGTCCCCCTCGGCTACGTCCCTGGTCCCAACAATAAAATATAACTTTTTAAAAAGAGTGAACAGTCTCTTTGGAGGAGTCCCTGAGTGGAGTGGAATCCCAGTGCTATCAGTCTGAAAACGTTTTTTTTTTTAAATATATCTTATTGATTTTTCACAGAGAGGAAGGGAGAGGGAGAGAGAGATATTATAGAAACGTCAATGAGAGAGAAACATCGAACAGCCGCCTCCTGCACGCCCCCACTGGGGATGCGCCAGCAACTCAGGCCCATGCCCTTGACCGGAATCGAACCCGGGACCCCTCAGTCCGCAGGCCGACGCTCCACCACTGAGCCACACCGGCTTCGGCCGGTCTGAAAAAAATTTTTTAAAAAATAAAAAATACCGGCCAGTGGCCAATGACACGGGGGGGGAGGGGGGGGGCTACGTAGGGAGGGGATTGGGATAGGATTGAGGGAACAAGGACAATGATGTGAGACCATCATCAAATAAAAAAAAAAAAAGAAAAAAGAAAAGAAAAGTAATAAAATAAAAAATTAAGAGGAAAAAAAATCAATAAAAATTTAAAAATCAATAAAAACATTTTTAAAAGGAAAGGGAAGGCAGTTGCTAGGTCCTAGGACCCGCAGGCCCGCCTCCCGCCCCCAGAGCCGGCCCCGAACCCGCCCGGACACGGTGGGCGGGGGCCCCGGTGACTGTCTCCCCGGAAACGAGTCACCGTCACCGCCACCTGCAGGTCACCACCTGCACCCATTGCAGCACCCGCCCCGCCTGCCCCCGGGACCCATTGCTCCCCCACGTGGGGGGCCGGGGCCCTGCAGCCGGTCGGCAGCCCCCCAGGTCCCCCCAACACACAGGCTGCATGCACCCCGGGGTGGGGGGGGCTGCTCCCAGCTCGGTCCGGCCTCCCACCCACCGGCCCAGGAATGTGGGTCCCGCCTTCCGCCCCCGCACCCGGCGCCTGTGGGTGAGCCGGGCGGCCCGGCGGGTGCTGCCTGCTTCTTTGTGTTTTATTTTCCAAAGGGAACCCCGGACCGTCTGCGGGGAGGGCCCCCCGACAAACGGGGGGGGGGGGGGGGCAGAGCAGAGAGAAACCTGGGGGGGGGGGGCTGAGGCTGTGAATGGCCAACAGAGGAAAACAGGTGAAAAAACGTGGAATTCCCTCTGAGGTTGCATTTGTCAGGCTGGATGGTGTCTGTGAATGTGGATCCATACAGAGCGCCGGCCTGCGGACGGAAGGGTCCCGGGTTCGATTCCCGGTCAAGGGCATGGGCCTGGGCGGTGGGCACATCCCCAGTGGGGGGCGTGCAGGAGGCAGCGGATGGGTGTTTCTCTCTCATCATGGATGTTTCTGACTCTCTGTCCCTCTCCCTTCCTCTCTGTAAGAAATCAATAAAATATATTAAAAAATAGCCGAGACCAGTTTGGCTCAGTGGATAGAGCGTCGGCCTGCGGATGGGAAGGGTCCCGGGTTCGATTCCCGGTCAAGGGCATGGGCCTCAGTGGCTGGCACATCCCCGGCGGGGGGCGTGCAGGAGGCGGCGGATGGGTGTTTCTCTCTCATCGATGTTTCTGACTCCCTCTCCCTTCCTCTCTGTGGGAAATCAATGGAATATATTTTTTTAAAAAATAACCCACCCTGACCGGTGTGTCTCAGTGGATAGCGCATCGGCCTGTGGACGGAAGGATCTCGGGTTCGATTCCGGTCAAGGGCATGGGCCTGGGTGGCGGGCACATCCCCAGTGGGAGGGGGGCGTGCAGGAGGCGGTGGATGGATGTTTCTCTCTCTCTCTCTCTCTCTCTCTCTCTCTCTCTCTCCCCCTTCCTCTCTGGGAAAAATCAATAAAATAAATTAAACTCACACACTCACACACACACACACACACACACACCTCAGTCCCGTTCCCGGTGGGGGCTCTGGCTGCCAGAGCGCTGTTTCCTGTTATTTTTCTGTTGATCCTCCCCCTCACCCCCTGACATTTTCATGGAGGGAGTGGACGGAGGGGGGAAGGAGGGGGTGGAGGGAGTGGGCGGAGGGGGAGGAGGGGGGGCGGAGGGGGGCGGAGGGGAGGCGGGGGGGTGGAGGGGGGGCAGGGGGGCGGAGGGGGGGGAGAGAGGGGGGGGAGACTGAGCAGGAGACACGGATGCGAGAGAGACACCGTCAATGGCTGCGTCCCGCAGGCACCAAGGTATGTGCCCTGGACGAGAATCGAACCCGGGATCCCCAGGCCACAGGCCAACGCTCTCTCCACGGGGCCAACCGGCCAGGCCTCACCCACTTTCCCCGGAGGTTAGGGCGGCGGCCGGGCTGGGACCAGCCCCCTGGACGGACGGTCGGAAGGACAGACAAATGGAAAGACGGAAGGACGGATGGAAGGATGGAAAGATGGAAGGACAGACAGACGGGAGGATGGACAGACGGATGGAAGGATGAAGGACGAACAGATGGACGGACAGAAGGATGGATTGAAGGACGGACGGACAGAAGGACAGACAGATGGAAGAACAGAAGGATGGAAGGACGGAAGGACAGACAGAAGGATGGAAGGACGGACGGAAGGATGAACGGATGGATGGAAGGAAGGACGGACGGATGAAGGACATATAGATGTACGGAAGGACGGAGAGAAGGACGGTCGGACGGACGGGCAGAAGGACAGACAGACGACGGACGGACGGACGGATGGGCAGAAGGATGGAAGGATGGGCAGAAGGACAGACAGACGGATGGACGGTCGGTCGGTCGGTCGGTCGGACATGGAGCGGGGGAGGGGGGGGTACCTGGGTGACGGACCAGCGCAGCACCACGGGCTGCAGGAGGCAGGGCAGCACCTTGGCCAGCGCCTGCAGCAGGCGCGACGCCGAGCGGGACACGGGCGACGTCCTGTTGAGGCCGTAGGTCATGGTGTCGTGGCTGCCTGGGCGGGCGGACGGACGGACGGACGGGCCGTGAGCGCCCCCTGCTGCTCGGAGCTGCCCCCGGGCTGAGGGTGACCCCCAGGCGCCCCCGAGGACATGCCCACGGGACACGCACGGACCCAAGGTCACGGCCTCCCGGGGCCTGGGAGGGGCCTCCTGGGGGCGGGGCCTCCCTCCTCTGGGGGCGGGGCCTCCCTCATGTGGGCGGGGCCTCCCTCATGTGGGCGGGGCCTCCCTCATGTGGGCGGGGCCTGTGCAGACGGGATGGACGGGTGAAGGGTCAGGGTCGGGGTCATCCGGGGTCAGGGGGGCCCTCCCTCCAGGGTCGGGGTCCTTGTCAGACTCAGAGGGAGACATGGACACAGAGGAGCGGCCCGAGGAGAGGAGGAGGGAGGGAGGGAGGGAGGGAGGGAGGGAGGGAGGGAGGGAGGGAGGGAGGGAGGGAGGGAGGGGACTGGGATGCACAGGGGGCCTCACTGGGACGGACTGGGATGGACGGGGACAGACAGACAGACGGGGATGGACTGGGATGGACTGGGACAGACTGGGGTGGACGGGGATGGACTGGGACAGACTGGGACGGACTGGGACACACTAGGACGGACGGGGAGACTCACCCAGGATGGACTGGGACGCACTGGGACGGACTGGGATTGACTGGGATGGACTGGGACAGACTGGGACGCACTGGGACGGACTGGGACGCACTGGGACGGACTGGGAAGGACTGGGACGCACTGGGACGCACTGGGACGCACTGGGACGGACTGGGACGCACTGGGACGGACTGGGAAGGACTGGGACGCACTGGGACGCACTGGGACGCACTGGGACGGACTGGGACGCACTGGGACGGACTGGGAAGGACTGGGACGGACTGGGACGCACTGGGACGGACTGGGAAGGACTGGGACGGACTGGGACGGACTGGGACGGACTGGGACGCACTGGGACGGACTGGGAAGGACTGGGACGGACTGGGATGCACTGGGACGGATGGGGAGACTCACCCGGGATGGACTGGGACAGACTGGGACGGACTGGGACGCACTGGGACAGACTGGGATGGACTGGGACAGACTGGGATGGACTGGGATGGACTGGGACAGACTGGGGTGGACGGGGATGGACTGGGACGGACTGGGATGGACTGGGATGGACTGGGACAGACTGGGGTGGACGGGGATGGACTGGGACAGACTGGGATGGACTGGGACAGACTGGGGTGGACGGGGATGGACTGGGACAGACTGGGATGGACTGGGACAGACTGGGGTGGACGGGGATGGACTGGGACGGACTGGGATGGACTGGGACAGACTGGGACGGACTGGGACGGACGGGGAGACTCACCCGGGATGGACTGGGATGGACGGGGATGGACTGGGATGGACTGGGACAGACTGGGGTGGACGGGGATGGACTGGGACGGACTGGGACGGACGGGGAGACTCACCCGGGATGGACTGGGACAGACTGGGACGGACTGGGATGCACTGGGACGGACGGGGAGACTCACCCGGGATGGACTGGGATGGACGGGGATGGACTGGGATGGACTGGGACAGACTGGGGTGGACGGGGATGGACTGGGACGGACTGGGACGGACGGGGAGACTCACCCGGGATGGACTGGGACAGACTGGGACGGACTGGGATGGACTGGGACAGACTGGGGCGCACTGGGATGGACTGGGACAGACTGGGATGGACTGGGACAGACTGGGGTGGACGGGGATGGACTGGGACGGACTGGGATGGACTGGGACAGACTGGGACGGACTGGGACGGACGGGGAGACTCACCCGGGATGGACTGGGATGGACGGGGATGGACTGGGATGGACTGGGACAGACTGGGGTGGACGGGGATGGACTGGGACGGACTGGGACGGACGGGGAGACTCACCCGGGATGGACTGGGACAGACTGGGACGGACTGGGATGCACTGGGACGGACGGGGAGACTCACCCGGGATGGACTGGGATGGACGGGGATGGACTGGGATGGACTGGGACAGACTGGGGTGGACGGGGATGGACTGGGACGGACTGGGACGGACGGGGAGACTCACCCGGGATGGACTGGGACAGACTGGGACGGACTGGGATGGACTGGGACAGACTGGGGCGCACTGGGATGGACTGGGACAGACTGGGACAGACTGGGGTGGACGGGGACGCACTGGGACGCACTGGGATGCACTGGGACGCACTGGGACGCACTGGGACAGACTGGGACGCACTGGACGCACTGGGACGGACTGGGGTGGACGGGGATGGACGGGGACAGACTGGGGTGGACTGGGACAGACTGGGACGCACTGGGATGCACTGGGACAGACTGGGACAGACTGGGGTGGACGGGGACGCACTGGGACGCACTGGGACGGACGGGGAGACTCACCCGGGATGGACAGGTGGTTCAGGGGCACGTCCCACAGCTGCGGGCTCAGCGCCGACATCCAGTCGGACAGCGGGTTCGGGTTCGAGGTCCGGAAGCTGCCCGGGGCGCTCACCTGCCCGTTCATCCTGGTCACCGGAGCGGGCGCCTGAGGAGGGCAGAGGGCGGAGGGCAGAGGTCAGAGGGCAGAGGGCAGAGGGCAGAGGTCGTGGGGGTCAGACCGAGGGGCACGGCCACGCCTTCTGGTGCAGGGGGGGGGGCAGTGGATTTGGGGGAAAATAACAAAAAACAGACTTCCCTCCGGGGGGCGCCGGAGAGGGGAGAGTGTAGGGGAGAGAGAGAGAGACAGAGAGAGAGAGAGACAGAGGGACGGAGAGAGACAGAGGGACGGAGAGAGACAGAGGGACAGAGAGGGACAGGCGGACAGAGAGGGACAGGCGGACAGAGAGGGACAGGTGGACAGAGAGGGACAGGCGGACAGAGAGGGACAGGTGGACAGATGTAAGAAAGAGATAGAAAGCCAGAGACAGAAACAGAGGCAGAGAGACAGGGGCAGAGAGAGACAGAGAGAGAGACAGAGACAGAGACAGAGAGAGACAGAGAGACAGAGAGAGACACACACAGAGAGACAGAGTCAGAGAGAGACAGACGGACAGACGGGCAGATGTAAGAAAGAGACAGAAAACCAGAGACAGAAACAGGCAGAGAGACAGGGCGAGACAGAGAGAAATAGAGAGGGACAGACAGACAGAGGGACAGGCGGAAGGATATAAGAAAGAGACAGAAAGACAGAGACGGAGGCCGAGAGTCAGGGAGAGACAGAGACAGAG